CAAGGAGACTGTCACTTCCTCCCACGGGGCGGGGGGGGTGGGGGATTCGAGCCACTTAACTTTGCTCCCGTAGCGCCACGAGCTCCCTCAGCAGGGTCGCAAGACTTAAAGCATCAGCTCCTCCCGCCACCCCCAGGCCCACCTCCTCATCGGGGCTCTACCCTGACCCCCAGCTCCTCCTGTCACCCCCAGGCGCACCTCCTCATCGGAGCTCTACCCCGCCTCCCTGCAAGCTGCTGGTCTGGCCCCCCCCCCCCCGCTTCTTGGGGTGAACCCACCGCTTCTCCGGGTGAACACACCGCATGCCCGGACCTAAGGACGGTTCTCTCTCTGCTCGTGGGTTCAAACCCGCCTCTCCAGCATCCACGTCGCCGACTCACAGGGACCCCCCCCCACCGCCCCCGGCCGCCCTGGGGTCCCCGAGCAATTACGGGTGCCGCACCGGCCAGGGGTCACCGTGCCCAGGACCGAGTGCACAGAGCCCCGGGGTGACACCTGCCACCCTCCAGGTCAACCCGTGGCGCCCCTCCACGGTGCCCCCATTTCTGGCAGAAAAAGGACTCAAGGAGCCGTCCAGGACCACCAAGTCCATCCCGCCTAGGTGGGACCTGCCATCAGGGTTCTGAGACTTAAACAGCACAAGACCCCACCACGCCCCGGCACCGTCCACTGCAGGGCCAGGGCCCCCGCTGGCTTCGAGGCTCAGAAAGTGGCCAGTCCCTGGCCCCTCTGGGACCCCCCAGGCTCAGGCCCGGACTGATCGCATTTCCTTCGATCTGCCTCCTGCTGCCCGCGGCCCCCCTGCAAGTCCAACCTTTAAAACGCCCTGCGCGGCCCACCCGAAGGCAAGCGGTTCGAATCCGCCAGCCGCAGGAGGCTCCGAAAACCCGCCGAGAGTGGGACCCCCCCACCCCACAACCATGACTTCTCAGCGGCCCTCCACCACCCGGAAACCACACTGCCACCCATGGCCAGCCGCTTCTGGACCCCGGTGAACCCCCACCTCTGTGGACGCTCCTAAGGACCACCGGTTCCCCCACGTTACCCCGCCCCCAGGGCCACAGGATCGATAACCCAGCAGGGACAGCATGGTCACGGACTAATAACTGCGCGGGGACACTGCGGTCACAGAGTCACGAACTTTTTTGGGGACACAAGAGGGGTAACCCCGCGGGGACACCGTGGTCACGGACTCAACAACCATCACGCAGGGGGGCCTCCCGCGGCCACTCGGACCCTTAAGTTACGAGCAACGCTCTGGGACATCGGCTGGTGGGACGCAAACCCAGCCACCGCTGCCCTCCAGCCCTCCACTCTCGTTCAACGTCCACTCACACAGCTTCCACACCTAAGCCAGGCCCACGGACTCCTCCTAGGAGGTCCATCGTGCGGGAGGTCACCGCCTGGACTCCTCCCACACAGGACACGGGAACCAATCCGATCTTGTCACTCACATCACATGCCCGACAGGGCCTGTGGGCACCTGGACACGCCTGCCCCTCGGTGTCCCACTCCCCGAACCTCAATGCACTGGGCCCATGGATGCAAATGCCGAGATCGAGATGCAGGGTTCGCTCCCAGGAACGGGAGGAAAAGGCGGGGGGGGGAGACACAGCTAGTTCCCTGGGAGTTGGGGTGTCACAGTCAGTCCATGGGTAGTGGGGGGGGTCACGGTTAGTCAACGGGGATATGGGGCGTCACAGTCAGGGAGTCATGGCTAGTCCACAGGGACTTGGAGGGTCATGGTTAGTCCACGGGAAGTTTGGGGGAGTCACAGCTATTCTACGGGGAGTGAGGGGGTCACCGCTAGTCCATGGGGAGATGGGGCATCACAGTCAGTCCATGGGGAGTTGGGGGGGTCACGGCTAGTCCATGGGGAGTTGGGGGGTCACTGCTATTCCATGGGGAGTTGGAGACCACTCCTCCCTTGTTTGCGGCCTGGAAAACAGCTCTGTGCTCTGCACGGAGTCCGCCTCCTGGGTTGTGCTCCGCTTTGCGTTAAGGAGCGCACCACGCAGAGATTGGTGAGGGGTTGACATGCGCAGCCCATCCGCGGGAGGAAAGTGGCCGATCTCCCGCAGTGAGGTGCACGGGCTGGAAGGTAATGAGGCACTGGGACTTGGGACTTAGAACCACTGGGCTGAAGGCGAGGCTCGCTGGCCGAGGCTTCTTCAGCTCCGGTGTTTCACGAGGTTAACCAAAGCCATCCCTGCCCAGTCGGTTCCGAGGCGTCCATGTTTACAGGAAGGGCTCGCCCACCTTTCTCCCGCAACAACCGGTGGATTCAGGGGCCAGCGCCTCGTCCAAGCGCCCAAGCGCCCTCTCCACGGAGATCCTCGGAATTTCGCCACAGCGGGGTTGGTTTCGTGGTTTGAAAACACTTTCTGCTCGGAGCTCTGGAGAAGCCATCGCGGGCTCAACAAGACTGGTTGTGCCAACCCACCAGCTGACGACCGGCTCCTTTAAAGATTTATTGCCTTGGAAATCTTACGAGACAGTTCCACTCTGTCTGCTTAACTATCTGCACCACCCATGGACTCCTTAAAAAGAAAACCCCCAAGCCCCATAACAAATCCCCGCCGTGGAGTCCACCCTGACACCCAGAACCGTTCAAAGTGAGAAATCTGTAAGCGAGGAGATGCCGGATTTTCCAGAGCCAAGCATGGGCTGGAACTGCTGATCTTTTGGTTAGTGCAACATGCAACCAACTACCTCATCAGAACGCCTATTAAACATTTATAAACGACTTGGAAAAGTGCTGAATGTGAAACTGCAAATAATAAAATGAACTGATTTTGTCATTCCTTCCGATATGAAGATCTGTCATTTGACACCCCTGTAGCATGTGAAATTCCCCAAGATCTAACGCTTACAACTGACCTTCCCTTTCCAATAAGAAAACGGACAATGGCGAAAGGAACGAGCACAGGAAGATGCAACGGGCATTCACATAAATAAAGGTTCCCCTCAACACACTACTGTCCAAAGGATCCCAGCTCACAAAGGTCCTCGAACGGGTTTCCCTGGGGTCAATCTTACCGGCGGTAACTGCTCATTTTTGTCCAGTGGAGGTGCTGGAGGAACTGAATGTCACAGATGCTCGGATTTTTCGTTAGCACTGCAACAGAGCAACTTCACCACCAGATCGCTGGCTTAATCAAAGTGATTTACCCCTTAATATCTAAGGCTCGGCAAATACAATGAAAATTCCTATTACTACGAAAACTGCACTTTGCAAAAATCACAAAGCTCAAATGAGACAGCTTGTCTCTGACTCAGCAACTTTCTTTTTTTATTTTACAACCTGGACTTAAGATACAAGGAAAGACTGAAACCTAATGTTCAAACTGAGCAGCAAACCCAATGCAAAACCAATATTTGTCTTGGCAAGAAACTCCAATTGGGGAAAAAAAATGTGTTTTGGTCTTACTGGCAGATATATAAAGAGCAAAGGTGCCTCGTGGACTATTATTTATCACGCAAAATCCCTTGTGTACTGCTACAAATTAGCTTTTACTGCAGACATTTTACATGTTTCTTTATACAGAGTACCTCAATCAAAGAACTTCCAAGTCTGGCACCATGAATTGTTACAGCCCACACTCCAACGCAGTTCCTTTAACTTAAAACATTTGCATTTTAAGAACAGTTTCCACATGCCAACTGCACTGCCAATTTCTCTAGCTAAAAGCGCAAGTTTATACTGTTTGCTCTCAACAACAGAATGCACTCATTTACAAATGATACAGGAATAAAGTCTTCCCTCCATGCACAAACAGAACGTTTGTAACATCTTAGGTTTCCTATTTAAATTAACAAGGTACTGAAGCCAAAGTCAGCTGACATAGGATCAGTTAGTTCACCAAAATCACTAATACAAAAGATTAGACCCTTAATCCCAATAAACTAGTTTGCAAAGTGGCCTCAAGAGACACTAAAGAGGTAAAAGTGTGTGTTGAGTGGTAGAAAATCCTTTTGTCATTACCAGAAAAACAAACCTTGCAAAAAGCAAATCTATAGGAAAGGCAAGTCATGTTCATGAATGCAAGTTCATTTCAGTTTCCCGCCTCACCCTAGAAGGCAGTTTACCGACTCTTAATAGTAACACAAAGAACAGGGCAGATCATAAATTACAGAGTTGTCTTTTGTTTCTCTTTTTATAATTACACTGATCAAGAACGGGTACATTTAATGCTCAGATTTATCTGCTGTTTATGAACGTGAAATTTTCCTTTTGGGGCTAATGTTATTCCTATCTCATGTACATACACACAAAATCAAACATCACTAGGTATTTGAGATAGTTTTATACACATTATCACACAAATCAAGTATTTACTGAGAACTCAGTACTCTAGCATAAATGTCTTCTCATCTTCCCCCACCCCCCACACCCTGTGAACAGATCAGAACGGAAACCACAAACTGGGGTCTGGGGAGAAAGAACGCCGTAACGCGGGTTTGAACTCGGTTAAGCGGGCACAGGGGGTCAGCGGACAACAATAACTGGCCATCTCCTGGAGGCAAATGGCTGAAGGCTGAGGACTGCAAAGGCCACTTCCCCGCTCGTTTGCAGATGTTAACTACGGGAAATGCCCTACATTTTCCCGTGTGAAACAGACATCAAGGAGGGGAGGGGGTGCTTAAAAACTGGGTCATTCTCATTTGTTCTGATGAGGCAAGGCCTTCGCGAAGAAAAGAGCCTATCTGATGAAAAAGGGGTGGGAAAAAAATCTGAGAGCATCCTCAATGTAGAAAAGTTAAGCTGTTCTCTGGAGTCAGCACTCGGGGCTCGTTAGTTGGTGTATTTGTGTTCAGACACTCGGAGTTGAAAGGAATCTGCCTTCCAAAGTCATCCCCAACAAAGAAATGCAGAGTATCCGACAGCGAGAGGAGGAAATGTCCTTCATTCACCTGCGGCACATAACCGGGCCTTCGGCCCGCTCTGTCCCCAAGCCATTTGGGCCCCTAGACCTCACCAGGGGCCACCCCAGGGGCACATGCCCTCCGCTGGCTCTGGGCCCCCCGGTCCCTCGGGACCTGCAGCCCCTCCCCCTCCTCTCCCCGTCCACGCGGGCAGCCGTCGCCGCGCGCCCCCGAGGCCCCTTGGGCCTGGAGAACCCCTGGGGCCCGGACCCCTCGCGCCCCACGGCGAGGTGCGCAGCAGCCAGGGCGCGGCGCGGGGAGGCCCTTCCAGGGACAGCGTCTCCCTCCAGTACAGCCCGCGGGCCCCGGGGATTCCCCGCCCCCGGAAACCGCGGAGGAACCAGGCCCGGAATGCCAGCCCGC